CTTGAAGATCTGCTCTGAGAGTGACAGCAATTGGGCTGAGCGGGATGTGTCCTGCCTGTTGAGACAGAAAACGGCTGCTGTGCTGTCCATTTCGAAGCAGATGGCCTCGTCCTGGGTAGTCTGATTGTCCTCCAGGAATCTCCACGCCACGTACAGCTCTCGCACGTTGATGTGAGCCGCCCTCCACTCGTCTGTCCAGCTCCCGAACTGCTGGTGACCCATGGAAGACTGGTGCCCACAGCTTACGTCTGAGGCATCCGATGCTACGAATAGGGTGGGCGCTGGTGGGACCCAGAGTGTCCACCAACGCAGGGCGTCGCGAGACAGCCAGGGGCGTAGAAGGGCGGACAAGTGAGGGGGCATGGGAGTGAGAGATCCCTGGGTTCAACCGGGATGGCCGCGTTGACCTCCCTGGTCAGGCGGTGGAGAAGCAGACGAACCAGAGGTACCACCTCTGCGGCATAGTTGAGGGAGACTAGGAGGGTCTTCCACTGGCGGCGAGTGAAGCTGGCCGATATTGAGGCGACAAAGAGGTGCCAGAGTATTCGTCGTGCGTTGTCTGGGGAGAGGCGGAGGGAAGCCGTAGAGGTGTCCCACTCTATCCCCAGCCACACCAGTTGTTGTGATGGTGATTCTGAAGCCCATGCCCTCCGCCGTGGCCAGTGTTACCCTGGTGCTTGATTCGCCTTCTTCCTTGGACGAGGCCGAGAGCAGTCAGTCGTCCAGGTACATGAGGACGTCTACCTTTCGGTGGGCGAGCTCCCTGGCCAAGACCCTCACGATTCTGGTGAAGACTCTCGGAGCTAGGGAGAGACCGAAGGGGAGTCGGGTTAATTGAAACACATCCCCCTCCACCTGGAAGGCCAGAAACTTCCTGAACCTCCTGTGGAAGTTAGCCAGGCCCCCTGTTTGAGATGGAAGCGGACCTGAGCTACCGACACCATTCGAAAATGGTACGGCTTGATATGCGTTAAAGGCGGCTAAGATCCACCACCCATCTCTCCCTGTTCGAGTCCTTCTTGGGGACAGTGAATAACCGGGAGAAAAAGACATGTCCTGTCCTCTCCACTTCCCCCTTTTTGCAGCATGGACTGGTCGTGCTCCTTTATGTGACTATTCACTTTGGTCCACTTGCTGTGTATCCGGAGTGGAGGCGGGCGGATCCATGGCCAGGTGAGGCCTTGCCTGACGACCCTCGATTCCCAGCCGCCGGAAGGCCAGGAATCGCCCCAACCAGAAAGGAGGCCCCTCTCCGTGTGGAGGCGAGTCTGGAAGCGAGAGTAGATAGGGCCTCGTAGACGCCGGATGCCGAGTCTGGGTGTAGGGAGTTAGAGTTGTCAGCCAGTGCCTTCACCCAGACGCAGAGTTGGGCCAGCCCTGCCATAGTGGAGAGGGTGAGGCCGCCTTCTGCCTTTCCAGGGCGTCCTTGGTCAGGGTGGGCTGGGCTACCTGAGAGGCCTGCCATGGGAGAGAGGACTTGATTAATTTCGGAGTCCACAGGAACTCCATCAACTAGTCTGGCACCCGGTCATCCTGGGAGGATAATACTACAAGGGCAGGTGAGGGGGAGGTGATGGGGGAGCTGTTCCTTCCAGCAGCCACCGTCCAGATCGACTGGAGGTCCAGGCCCACCTTATCCCACGGAAAGCGGGCCTGGCCGGCCGCCCGGGCACACCTCCTACCGTCCTGTAGCGTTGCCACTTGGAAGGACCTGCCGTGGACAGCACGGAACAGGGGGCCAGAGAGTCGAAGGTGTCCAGGGCCGGGACCGGGAACGTTCCTGACAGGGCTGGGGCCATCTCCCTTCTCGACAGGCGGAGCCTACTTGTAAGCCCCCTGGCTGATGATGTCATCAGGTGTCTTAAAAGAGAGGGGAGCGCCCGCCGGTGTGGGGAAGGTCCCTTCTCCTGATGAAGGCCTGGGCCTTGTAGGGGCTGGAGAGGTTGCTGAGACCGACTTCTGGTCCAATTCAGAGTAGTCAGGCAGCCCCTGTGAGGACCCGGCCCTCCTTGGCTCAGAACCGGACTCCGAGAACACTGAGGGGTTCGTAGACGGGGAGCGAGGGCGGGATCTCCGTGCCACAGGATGTTGGGTGGAGGGGGCTTGGGCCTGCTGCTGCTGCTGCTGCAGCTTCTGCACCTGGAAACAGGAAGACAGAACCTCCAACATCTCCAGTGGTAGGGCTGGGGGTGCACTGCCTGGGTGGCCAGAATCTCCGATTGCGACATCTGGGCGGCTGGGGCCGGCCTAGACGGAGCGATGGAGAAGGTAGAGGGGACGTCTTCCCCGGCAGCGCCGGGGAAGGTCGCCTGGCCCCGGAGGGGGGGAGAGAGCTGTAGGAGGGCGGCAGGAGAGAAGGGTCCCTCCTTGCCGAGTTACCTGGCGAGGGCTGGTGAAGGTAGAGGTCCGGAGGGGGTGAGGATCACCTCTCCAAGGACACTCTGGGCTGCAGGGACAGCTCGTCTGGGGCCCTGGTAGAGTCGCCTGGTTCGAGGACCGCCGCTTCCTCCTTGCGAACCCGCTTCCCTTGTGGCCGCTGTTCTTAGGCGACCTGGGGCGGTGGTGCCTGTGGTAGGAGGACTTAGCGGTACTCCCGGAGAGGTGATGGTGGCGACTGGAGGAGGAGTGAGCACTCGACTCACGGAAGGGCGAGAGGGAGCGCTGTGGAGAAAACTGAAGCCCCAGGGAGGGGAGAGGTGGGTTCGGCGGTGGCCGACTGGGAAACCGGAGGGGGGGGACTCCGGCCTGGGGTCCTCGGTAGAGTGGACTCTCCCCGAGGGGTCTCGGTGGCTGCACATCCGCAACCAGGAACAGAGATCCTGGTCGAATACCTAGGGGCTGAGCAGGGCACCATCTGGGGCTGAGGAGAGGGCGATGGTGAACAAATTTGGCGAAGAAGAGAGGCCAGCAAACCGGCGTGAAAAAGAACATGAAAGGGGAAGACGGAGAAGAGAAGGGAGGAGGGGAGAGGGGTCAAAGAAACCACCCTCCCGCACACCTGCCCCACCCAAACCCGACCGAAATGAGTGGCCGTCTCCAGTCCGAGAACATAAAGTGAGCAAATAAGTTCGACAATGCAACGGAGTGCAGACTCAGCGCATGGTCAAGGCTAGGGAAATACAAACAGGAGAAATAACACAAAGGAGCAGGGAGGAAGGGGGGGGGGGGCTACAGACGCCTCTCCATGCTAAAATAACCCGTGCCAAACAAAGAAACCGTGTAAGGACTCGGCGTGTGGGCCTGGACGAGAGAAAACACAAACAGAGGGAGATGGAGAATGAGAATGAAAAGGAGGAAGGAGCACTTGCTCGGAAACCACAACACGTGGTTACAAGGCAATGGAAGGAGGAAAATGGCCCAAGCCAGGGGGGCACAGACACAAGCCACCAACTTGAACCTAGAGAAACAACACTCCCCCTCCTAGTTAACAAGAAAGAAAACATTCTAGCCTGCTGCAGACGTAAAAAAAGCACAGGGGGTGCGGAAGGACATCAGACACTAACCATAATGTGAGAAGCTGAAGCAGGAGAAGAGTCTGATTTGAAACTCAGGTACACCGTAGCACGGCGCAGGCAATAGGAGCTCTTATGCGCCGATTCCTATTCTCTCGAGTTTTCCGTTTTCTTCAACTGCTAGTTGCAGCCTAGATAATCTAGATGTGTTAAAACTTGGCCCTATCACCTCCTAAGAGTGATGTCTTTTGAGGTCTAATAGCAAGTGCATCAGCAGGCTCATCTCACTAAAATAACTGTGTGACAATGCCCACGCTGAAGTCAAGAGTCAGGAAAATCTACTTGCTATACAGACGGTGTTGACTCTGGTGCTGACTCTGCTCCTGTAATTAATCATGGCAAAATCAGTACATAATTAACATTGGTGCTTTGTACCAATGTGCAAAAGTACGAGTATATGCACGCCAGAAAAAAGTTTATTTCTGTGCCAAAACAAAAAGAAACCAGGAAACTGTGGTGGCGCGCAGAGCATCGGGAGTACACTATCTCCGCAGAAAAGAGTGGAGAGCCTATTAATGTAATATATAAGCTCAACTGAATCTTCCAGACCTCCTGCAATTGCTTGCAAAATGAGGAGTCATAATATTACATATGAATAATTTACTTTTTATGTTACTTAATGGAAGGATTTTTTCCGCTGAAATACAGCTACCTATAATATATTCAGTCGTTGAAGCCTTATTGATCCCACATGCCTGGCAAAATAGTACCTTTACCGATAATGATATCAACTCGTGGTAGGTTTCTCGGATCTGCCTTAACATAACCAAGAAGTAGTTCTCCATCTTTTCCTGAAGTTGTTCCATTCTGTAATTGTGTGTAAATGAAGCAGAAAGTTAGATCAGCAACCTGTGACTTGGTCACAATTTTTATGATGCCATATGGCAACAGGGTCTATCATTAGACAACATAATGCTTCCAATATCTTCCCAGGCGGAGGTACCTCCCTGTTTAATAGCTGCCTACTACCTACTATAGTGATAGTATAACTTAATTTTCCCGATAATATAAGTTGTAAACTATAAATGTCATGTGTGGCAGCTCTCGACAGTAAATGTTTCTAATGACAGCCTTAAAGCAACAAAATCTTGTACGTTATTTTCATCACATTATCATCCATAAAACAACTAAAATAAAGTTATAAATTGGTAATATAACGCAAAATTTTCCAATGTTTTCACACATTGGGTATTGCTTTCTGATGTGATAACCGAGAAGTACTTCCGTTTAGAACATTAGTTGTCAACATTGGTACGATAAATTAGCCTTAAAACACATTTTTAATACACCTTATAACTGTGTTAATGTAAACAATTAAGCCACCAATTTATATGATTGTCCTCGCAAGATATATTCGCCGTTCCGCGTGGTAATGGAATTTTCACCCTCCTTTTGGTTCTTTCCTTTACTTAAACATCGTGGCTTAACCTCACAGTTTAAACCTATAGTTTATCTTCACACCTTAACCTCACAGCTTAATCTCATAGCTTAACCTCATGACATAACCTTACACTATAACCTCACAGCTTAACTTTACAGTTTAACTTTGTAGCGTAAGCTCATGACATAACTTTACAATATAATCTCACAGCTTAGCTTTACAGTTTAACTTCATAACTTAACTTCATGAAATAACCTTACAATATAACCTCACAGCTTAACCTTAGAGTTTAACCTCATAGTTTAACCTCACATTTTAAACTTACAGTTTTTCTTCACAGCATAACCTCACTTTTTAATCTGATAGCTTAACCTCATGACAAACCGTAGAACATAATCTCACATCTTAACCGCACAGCTTAACCTCAGAGCGTAACATCCTAGCTTAACCCCAAATAGCCTCAGAGCTCAATGGTGAGAATAAACAAGTAATTGTCGCATGATTGGAATACTTAACCCTCGTCCTTGGTCAAGTGTTAGTTGTGCGGGCACCAGAAGGAGCGCCATGGTGTGACCGTGTGTGTATAGTGAGCAGTGCAAAGCTGGCTCCCGTACGTCTGGGGAGTCGTAATAACCTGTGCCTTAAGGCGAGGTGATGCGACGTAAGGACAGAGGATAGGGGACAGTTGCACCGCCATACTGTTGTGACAAGTAAGAAATATCTAATATCTGAATTCTGATACTTTACATTTGATTGCAGTGTCATTGAGATAAACAAATGCATCCTGTCTGCGATAGTGTGTGGACATAGTCATGCTCTCCATATCAACTTTGGGCCAAACCTGGTCAATGATGAAATGTGCCATAGCATGAGGAGAAATGGAATTTCTATGCGTGTTTGTGTGCCCAAACAATAGACTATGGACTTATCTCAGAATCCGAATTATCACGCCACCACCACCATAACACTTGACCCACACCACACTCAATAAAGCTATCAAACTGGGAGGTACTACTGTCTGGGAAGCATAGTGTGTTGTCTAATGGTAGACCCTGCTGCCATTTGGCCTCAAGAAAATTGTGACCGAGTCTCAGGTTGCTGATCATACTTTCTGCCTAATTTACACATAATTGCAGGGTCTCAAGTGTTTCTCTTACTATTGACAACACAACATTCATGTATCGTTTCTCACTCGTGATCTTTTTTTTTAGTCTCTGTTTTTATTTGTGGTTCTTTATTATTATTATTATTATTATTATTATTATTATTATTATTATTATTATTATTATTATTATTAGGTGTAGCAGTAGTATATTTTCGCCCCATAGGCCCCGATGTGCTCGGGTGGCTAATCCCCGTAAAAAAAGAAAGATAAAAAATATTTTTACTGTGTAACCAACTGTTTAGTCTTACATTGTCCACTGCAGGGCAGGAATTTTTCGCTCCACGTTAGATGGGTGAAAAGCGTCCATACTACATCAATAATTAATCTATGTAAATGTTGCCGGACCATGTAATGAGTCAAATAATATTATTGTAGTCCCAGGCTACTGTGTGTACAGTCAGCCAAATATTATTCTGCACCTTTACTGGTTCCTACAGTATGACACACCGGACCAAGAATTCTGAAAACACTTATGAGTCAAAGCGGATGTTGGTAGTCCTGGCTTCCTGAGTTGTCAGTTACTCTGTAGATGGTATTTACCAAAAGGTGTTTCAGTGTGTCTGCGTGCACAATGTGTTACATACGAAGATAGCAGTTAACATCATATAACTATATTTATAAAATAATCGAATTAATATCAAAAGCAATTGCCATTGCCGATCAATTTTGGCAACATAAATCTCTATGAGTGAATGCTTATCATTATATTAGTGTAACAGACGTAACCACCCAGTCACGTCTTAAGCCCCCCATAGACGGTGCGACCGCTGGTTCCGGCTCCGTCCTGCTTCCGGCTTGCCCCCTAAAATGAGCTGCCCACAGACTTTCCGGCGGCCTGTTCCGGCAAGCTTCAGTTTTGCCAGGCTGTTATATTGTGCAGATGTGGCCTCTTCGCTCGAAGATCTGACTTTCTTAACGTTAGGAGCTACTGCTGCGGTTTACGCTGTAGCAGAAATAGAGAAACCAAAGAGAAGGAGAAGGAAGTGGGTGAAACAGTGGCTGAATGAACTATCTCATGACTCTTTACTTAACGAATTGAAACTCGAACCAGGGGATTAGTTCAATTACCTCAGGATAGATGAGGAAACTAACTTAAAGTTATTGTCTTTGCTGTCTCCATTCATAGAAAAGCAAGATACGCGTATGCGGACGAACATATCACCACATGAGAGATTATTAGCTACTCTGTGATTTCTAGTCACTAGTCGATCCTATGAAGACTTGAAAATTTCTACCCTTATATCTGCACTATCTCTGGGCATAATAATACCCGAGACATGTAATGCCATTATACAAGATTTACAACCAGAGTATATGAAGGTGAGTAACATGATGTTTATACAAATTCAAGGCAATGTTTAAGAAAATAAAAAAAATCCAGTCCATTAATATGATATATTTGCAACATGGTAATAAAACTCATATCACATATGGTATTGTATTTTCAGCATTCATCATAAAAATAAGAATTCACATCCATTATATAAGAAACTCGTGAAAATTATAAACTGAAAATAGCAGCTTTAGGCCTACGTAAACATGTAGTTTCCTACATGCAGCAATAAGAAAATAGCATGCATGTTGCATGATTTTTGCTAGTATTCCTTGCATTTCAAATCAAAATCAAAATCCTCAGTGATAAAATGAAGATTCTCACCAAAATGATGACTTTAAGCATAAATTAGAACATAAATTTTATGGAGGTAAAGTAGCCTGAAATAAGAAAGGTTTTTAAAAGAACTTAATGCTATTCTATACATGCATGATGAAAATCATAACTCAGCTTCGTGAGGCATAAACTCAGGAAATTAAACAAACGAAAATGACATTGTAGTGGACGTCTCCCCTACAAACTGCGTAGCTGCCACCACCTGCTACGGCATTCCGACGTGCCGTATCCTAGCAATGAAACCAGGAACCGGCGACTTTCTGGGTTTTCCCAACATGACTCATAGCGGCTGCTGCTGGGTATATAAGCTCTGTCTCTCCATTGAGATTCATTCTGACCATTCTTCTTGAACAAGCAACACCTCCTCCTCCGCCGCTGCCTGGCTGCCTTAGCTTCTCCTCGCCTGCCTGGCGGCCCTCGCTCCCGCCAGCGAGCATGGCGACCCACCAGCTGTCCTTCTCTGAGCTTCCTCACCAACCAACTCTCATTCTGCCCATCTTCCTGAACAAGCAACACCTCCTCCAGCAAGCTCCACGCTGTCTATCATATAACTTATATATTATACAAGAAAACCACATTAGAGTTTCCTTCCATTCTTAGTGCTAGACAACATTAATATATCGATACCCCTACAACATCATCTGGCCTATAAAAAAGTGTTCTTTTCTGTAAACCGAAAGAACACACTTAGAATTAATTTTGTTTTGGCAACAGTATCTCTGGTGGCATTTACATCCTTTTCTTTAAGCTTCTCTAGAAGTATATCATATGCAGCATTTCGTTTTCCTTTATCACTATAGTCTTTCGACTTTATCTTCCAGAGGCACGGGTATTGTTTGTATAATTTGATGAATTCCTCCCAAAAATCTTTGTCATATGATGTGCTTTTCATTTTCTAGATGTTTACTCACTGGGAGTTGCTATGAGACTGATCGTACGACAGCTCCACAGACAATCCGTCAGGTCGGCGCCTGAAGTGGGACGGAAGGGAGAAATCTGGCGCGGACAGATTCTGAGCTCGCCGGTCCGGCCGCCGGATTCCGCCCACAATTGGCAGTACGATGCCCCCTACACGATCGGTTTTAATTACGATTCCCGCAGACGGATCCGGCGGCCGACGTATCGTCTATGGGGGGCTTAAGACAAGCTGATAAGGTTCTAGCATGGGTTAATAATATGCAGTAGAAGGGTCGCGACTGGTATGGTCGCATGTTATTTTGGTGCGGAAAATGAGGTTGATATTCATGGCAGATGGAAGATGAGGTATATTACAACAGTAGTATATAAACACTGGAATTGCTTTCATTGATTCTCTCATAATATATGTTCAAATATCCTAACCTAACCTAACCTATGATAGGGAAACACGTGCAATTTGTGATTGTCATTTTATTTCTATCAATATTTAGTGCAGGTGTAGCAGTTAAAATTGAAGTCAAGGTAAAAATGAAGTGTTTGCCCAACATATCGTATGGCACTCCCGGCAGAACGCTCTGTGATTCCGTGGTGAGCAGAGCTGGTGAGTGGCGACTGATAGTAGCATTATACTGTATTCGACTTCCCTTCGTTTGGATGTATAATAATTTAATTAATTAATTGAGGTGTTGGTAGTGAAAATGCCGTGAAGCCAGAAATATTATAAAATATATAGAATAAAGGGAAATAAATAAAATTGAGTCCAGTGCATAAGTGGTATAATAGGCTAGTAAACTCTGATAATACAATTAATTAATATAATTTTTAAAATTTAATTTACTGGTAAACATAAAAGTCCATCAGTTTTTTAGTGGAAATTAAATAGTAAATTCGATGGTGTGAAGAATGAACCTGGTAGAGGTGTGGTTATATTAGCGAGGAATTCTCTTATTTCTCTTGTAGACAATGTAAATTTCATGAATGGTCATTTGTATGATAAAGCGGTATGGTGTGAGATCATTATGAAAAGGAAAAATATATTAATTGGTGCTGTGTATAGGGCTCTTTTTACAAGTCGTGAGAAAAATCTTTTATTGAATTACCTAACCAAGTTGTTTCCTTTCCTCGTGGACGTAATGCTAAATCTCCTTGTTTTGCTCTACTAGATACTATTCCTGTTGTAAATATGTCTTCTCATGGATGTTTGAACAATCCAAACGTATTCTGCTACATATGTGGGTGCTTTATTGTGCATAAGCAGCAACAAGAAATAACAGCATTCGTGAAAAACGCATATTTTGCCTACTTTGGAGTGAAAATAGGTGATTTGGATAAACCATGGGCGCCACATAAGGTATGTTGCATTTGGTAAGAAAATAGTTAGGCCATTTGGAGTCCCTATGGTATGGTGGGAGCCTAAAAATCATGGTGATGACTGTTGTTTTCCTCTGTGAAGATAGAGGGATATAATGCAAAAAAATAAACAAGGAATCATTTATCCCAAGATTCTATCTACCATGAGACCAGTGCCACGTGGTCCTGAGGCTCCAGTCCCCATTCCGCTAAACGTGTTGCCGTCCGTGTTATCAGAATCTGACCGTGATTCATCGTCAGGTATTACACTTACATACTCCGTTACTCCCGATGGTTTCCTGCCACATGTCAGCATCTGTGCCAACTCTAGCATTGAAGTCACCTAGGAACACAACCTTATCTTCTCTGCGGATAGAGGTTAGCACTCTGTCAAGGTCAGCGTAAAATGCCTCCTTGATGTCATCCTTTGCATCCAGTGTTAGGGCGTATGCACTGATGAAGAAGGCATGATGTGAATGATTTAGTGGGACTCGGAGTGTCATGAGGAGCCCGTTGATTCCAACAGGCATTTCAGTTAGTCTAAGTACGATGGATTGGAGAAAGGCAAAGTCAACTCCTTAAATGTGGTTTCTCTCTGCAGCAGGCTT